CCCGCGTCCCCTGCATCGGCAGGCGGACTCTCAACCACTGCGCCACCAGGGAAGCCCCATTTTCATTAAATAATAGCAAGTTTTAAACTAAAGACAGATATTCTATTTTTTTAAGTGATAATAACTTGAAAAATTTCAGTTTTAGCTAGTCTTTGCACTCTGAATCCATGTGATACTAGCATCAAAAAAAAAAACTGTGGCAATGACGAACAAGTCAAAGCTTTTATCACCCAGTTCTCTCTCGTACCTTCTTTCTAACGCTCCACTTGTCTCTAAGTGGCAACAGAGTCAGTTCAGCTGCTTACTGCCCATGTAGAAAACAGAACTACAGACAGACAATTGGGAACCAGGGTTGGTAGTCATTTATCTTACTACGAAACTGAATTAAGTTCCCACTACTCCTGAATTCCAATATCAGGACTATTAGAACTCACTTTTCCTTAAGATTCCTTGTTTTTCATCCTAATTGTTATGCAGGCTGGCCTAATGGGATATCAAATTAAGCCTGCACCAGGATGCCTAACATATGCCTGTGACTGATAGAACCCATTTTTATTGATTAAAAACCTAACTTCTATATTAAAACCACTGCCAGTGTACTAGTTTTACTTTTCTGAAATAGAAAATCATGGCACATTAAAAAAAAAAAACCTGTCGGATGGTGGAATTTAATTATAAAACAAAGGATTTCAAAAAAGGAACGTAAAAAATAACAGAAGTTTATTTAATAACTAAACAAATAGTCAAAGATTTTAGTTATAATAACTATGTAGTACCAAGCCAGACTAAAGGTACAGGCCTGCGATGCTTCGACTATGTGACTAAGGGTTTGAAGGCTGGTAGCTTACACTCCCATGAAAAGAAATATTTGTCCATACACAGAAGACATGGACTTTTAATGACTTTTCATGTCCTAACCAGTTTGATAGGTATCTTGTAATTAGCTATTTAAATCTCAATTCTTATTATTTACCTCCATCTGGAGGGCTGGTTACCTCTTTTAACAGCAGAGACATGCACATGATACTATGCTGGAAACCCCTGGAAATTTTTACTACTTAAAAAAATCTCTGGGCTTCCCTGGTGGCGCAGTGGTTGAGAATCTGCCTGCTAATGCAGGGCACACGGGTTCAAGCCCTGGTCTGGGAAGATCCCACGTGCCGCGGAGCGACCGGGCCTGTGAGCCACAACTACTGAGCCTGCGCGTCTGGAGCCCGTGCTCCACAACAAGAGAGGCCGCGACAGTGAGAGGCCTGCGCACCGCGATGAAGAGTGGTCCCCGCTTGCCACAACTAGAGAAAGCCCTCGCGCAGAAACGACAACCCAACACAGCCAAAAACAAATATAAATAAATAAATTTTTTAAAAAATCATTAAAAAAAATCTCTGCTTAAAAGCAGAAAAATTGCTATTTTTTGTGAAATTGTTATTTTTTGTGAAACTGTTAACCTCGTTTAGCTCATTTATAAATATTCTTTGTTATGAGAAGTAGAAAGAAAATGACTCTCCATCCACTTACCTTATACTTCAAACCACCCACGCATCTTTAAAAAATTTAATTATAGGCTTGTTCTTTAGATTCTTCTATCATTCAGCCATAGTCATGATTACAGGTGTAGGCTAAATTATGTTTAATTTATACTTACCCAAATATCCCAGCACCTCATAATGGATTCTTTGTCATGTGATCATTTTACATAACCTGATGGCATATCATAACTGCTTACTTACATGTCTAAATAACAAGGATGTTAACTATCACTAACCTGAGGGTTAAGCAACTTGTTTAGACCAAACCAAGCAATGGGAAAATATAACATGTACACCGGCTACTATGGAAAGTCCCTTGAACAATCCTTTGCATTACAACTTTTAAATAATTAGAAATAGTGATGTGACATAAAGACCTGCCTTGAATTACATGAGATTTTAATACTTTTAAGCCAACTTAAGAGAAAATAAATCACAATCACTCACTGTTTCTGTATTCAGAATATAGTCAAATACCTCAAATTTGTTTCTCTATTCATTTCCACCCAAATTAAACCTTTATCAGATGTATATTTTTGATTCAAGTCCTCTAATGCAAATCTTTCCGTAACATGCTTTAAAAAATGATTAAGCCAACTTAACTTACCCTTTGCCTGAAGTCTGAATCAGCATTTGGATTTAGCCCTAAAAGAGCCTGTTCATCCATCCCTGCTGCTATACTTGGAGTTTTCTGATTACAATAGGCGTGCCCTCTGATCCCACAGAAGAATCCACAAACATCTGCACACACACACACACACAAAGTTGAAAGAAAACAATACTTGATAAACAAAATAGATGCTTATCCAGAATATCATAACAAGTGGTAACATTATGCAAAGAAGTTTAAGAGTTAAAAGAACTTCTTTTGAACCTATCCAAATTACAACTAAAGGAGCCTAAGTCTCAGAAGATTGGGTCTGCTAAATACTCCACTAATGTGTAATTTCTAAAAATCTAAGGTATGCCATTAAGGTTCTCAAATGTTTTTCTTCAAGATCATCAATAAAGTACAGAAAATAATTCTTTTTCTTGAAATTGAAGCATCTAATTTATGTTATTACCATCTCCAGTAAAGTGCAATTGTGCAACTACATTAAGTTAAAAAAAAGACAAATCCAGATCATCTTATTATACTAATTATAATACTTGCTTACTGCCATTTATCAATATCACAATCCTTTAAAAAAAATTTTGAATGGCTGACTAAATACGGATCTCAGAGTGCCTTTCTGGAGAGTCTACCAAGTACTTCAGGAGAAGTCAAATGAAAAAGGAGCTAAAGAGTGAAAAACAAGTCATTTAGCTTTTGAAAAATGGGCTAGCTCTGCCTTTTACAGATCTCTGCTCTTGCCAGCCCAATTCCAGAAATGTATTTCAAAAACTGTTTTCTAACAGTAGCTATAAAAATTGACAACACTGATTTTTCTTATTTAAGAACTTTTTTTTCCACAATATAGGGTCTAACATTCTCAAGTAAGAACATGACCAGCCCTAAAGGCAACTTGGTTTCTGATAAAATGTTTATTTATCTGCAGAAACAAGGAACAAACTCTACCTAAGGTAGGGAGACCAGGTCTTACTACTCCTATTAAAAGGTTGTAAGGCTTTTTTTTAAAAAAAATTATCATAACCAATTAGACCATAACTGATCTAACCAAAGAGAAGATCAGAGGCTAAAGGGGCCAAGTACCTAAATGGGGGATGTGGTGTGGAAAGGGTCACAGCCTTTCGGGAATGGTAAGACCAGGATCAGATCCAGGTTAGAAGACTCCTACTACAACATGCTTTTCTGTCTCCCCAGCTCTGCCTGAATCAAATGATAAATCAGGATATGTGATGAGAGCCTTGGAGAAGAAAGCTTGACCCCTTCTCTTACAATTACCATCATACTTGTAGACTACAAAGGGGCAGTGTAACTCCCCACTGCCCTCAGGATTAAAATCCAAACACTTTTCAACGACTCCTCACCATTCTGCACCCTAACCCAGCAAGGCCAGTGGTATTCTGCCTCTCATCTTCTTTGGACACATTGCTCTTTCCTTGTTACTTAGTTAACCTCTGCTTGTTCTTCAGAATTCAGCCTAGAGGTCACCTCTTTCAAAAACACTTCTTTGACCTCTATTGTTCAACTCTCCCAAACTGGATTAGATGCCCCACCTAAATGCTGATACATTGTCACTGTCTGCTTACTACTTTTCTCTCATTAACCTTAAAGGGAAGGAGGGACTGTCTTGAGTATTTGTCACTGTGTCCCTAGGACATAATATAACATACATTTTGGATTTGGAAAGACCTGTACTGGTACTCTGATCTTGTCATTTTCAAACTAGGGCCACATAGACAACTACCAAACCTGAGAGAGAGCCCTTTCTATGAAATGGGAAAAAGAGCATCTGACTCATAAAGTTGCAAAGACTTCAATGAGATAAGGTATGGAAAAGCATGCCTGGCACCTAGTGGGTCCTCAATAGCTTATCTGTCATTCAGAGCTAGGCACACGGGGGAATGGGAACTACTTGGAGTAATCTAGATTTTTTTTTTGCGGTACGCGGGCCTCTCACTGTCGTGGCCTCTTCCCGTTGCGGAGCACAGGCTCTGGACGCACAGGCTCAGCGGCCATGGCTCACGGGCCCGGCCGCTCCGCAGCATGTGGGATCTTCCCGGACCGGGGCACGAACTCGTGTCCCCTGTATCGGCAGGCGGACTCTCAACCACTGCGCCACCAGGGAAGCCCTAGATTTCTTATACTAGTAAACTGGCATTTTGAACAGATGGAAAACCAAAAAGGTACTGTTGAAAATTTGATGACAATTCCCCTGAAAAAATGCACACACAGAAAGAAAAGACAATCTGAATTTCTATGAATCCCAGATTAAGTCCTATAAAAGATTCCTTGAATTTGGCATGGCTTTAGGGAAAATTGCGTAAACTTGGTCACTCCGATTCTACCAAG